AGAGAGGAAGGGAGGGAGAGAGAGAAACAACACAGTGATGCGAGAGAGAAACAGTGCCCAGCTGCTGCCTGGCGGACCTGGAGACTGAACCCGAAACCAGATGTGTGCCCTGACCAGGAATCAAACGGCGACCTGGACAGGCGTGCAGGCTGGGAACCCCCTTCCTCGGAATCCTGCCACCTGAAGCTTGTGGGCCTCTGGTTGGTGCCTCAGGCTTTTTATGTGACTCCTCCCACCCCCCTTCCAACTGCTTTCAATTCCGGATCCCGCCTGGCTGTGGCATCTGGACTGCTTTGGTCTCTGTGCCCTCAGGGGTGGGGCATTTTAAATTAGCTCTTTGGTCTTTCCCTGGCTCTCTTTTCTCTGTCTCTGTTCCCGGATCACTTCTCACAGGATCTTCTCATTGTTTTATCCCCTTTCTCCCATTTTCCATCTTTTTGTTCTATTTTATAGGAAATTTCACAAGACTTTCTTACAATGCTTCTATAGGACTTTAAAAATATTTTTTATTGGTTGGTATTTTTGGAGAGAGAGATTGATTTGTTGTTCCACTTATTGATGCATCACCGGCTGGTTCGTGGAGGGGCCCTGACCCAGGATGGGACACACTGAGCTGAGCTAGGGGCCGGGCCCTCCTGCAGGACTTTTCATAACATTCTGTCAGATGTTATTGTTCAAGGACACTTTTTGGGTCTTGAATCCCCTTCCTTTTTATATGAATTCTCATTCTTACGTTAGAAATGCATGACCTTCTCTTATTGTCTTGAAAATACCATTGTTTGAACTCTTCCTCTGTAGCTTTTATTTCCCAGATTCCTGTGTTTTCCTTTTCGTTGGTTGGGGCCCGTGCCTGTTTCCGCCTCGGGGGCTCTTCCCCGACCCCGAGGTGGAGGTGGGTGGAACGGGGCTTGCGGGCTCCATGCGGGGCAGGGGGCGGCTGAGCGCTTTCTTAGGAACCCGGACCCAGGACCAGGGTTCTTTCTCTGAGACTCTCATTCTTCTCAGGACAAAGTCCTCCAAGTCCGTCTGCCAGGATTCCCAAGGGAAGGCTGGGGCGCCCGCCCATCCTGCCTCCAGGACCCAGTGCAGGCTCCCACCAGCTGTGGGAGGGCCCGCCATCACTTGCGACAAGGAACGGACTCTCCTCCAGGACCTTCTAACCTGCCTCTGACCCAGCCCCTGGTAGCCTTGGAGGGCAGGGACCCCTGGCTCCTGGCATCTGGGGGGAGGGGGGTCTGTACCAAGTCCACACCCTGGGGCTGCCCGCAGGTGGGACTGCGTCATCAGGAGCAGGGAAATGGGCCAGAAACCCACAGCTCCCCTGCTGGCTAAGATGAGGAATTTCTTCTCTTTATTTTTATTGATCAGAGAGGAAGGGAGAGGGAGAGAGAAGCATCAATGATGAGAGAATCATGGATCGCTGCCTCCTGCACGCCCACACTGGGGATCCAGCCTGCAACCTGGGCCTGTGCCCTGACCGGGGATCAAAGGGTGACCTCCTGGTTCCTAGGTCGAATTTCAACCACTGAGCCACTCTATGTTTATTTTTTTAATATTGTTCCTTCCTGCTCTGAACGGCCTTGGTTTTATTCTCATAAAATGTTCGGATCTCCTTTTCAAACAAGCGGCCCGCGGAGGTGATTCAAATGGGCTCCAATGGAGGATGAAGCCAATAGTGTCACTTCTGTGTTCAGGAGCTGATGTGCTTTTCCTGAATCTTCGCTCACGTCTCTTCGTCTTCAGAGAGCATCCCATTGGTTCCTGGGCTGCTGAGAGGCCCGCTCTGTACCCCAACGCTGTGTTTAAACTATGAAAATAGGTACATATGATGTCAGACAGAAATGGTAAAACAGGTCTATATATGCTTTTTACTTTGGTGATGACCCATAAAAGTCAACCAAGATGTTCTTATCAAGCCCCTGCTTGCTTGCTTGGTTTTTTCCTTCTTCGTGGATTCCTAATGAAATAGAAGCCAGTGGGTCTCTGGTTTATTTCTTTGTTTCCACTCTTACATTATATTTTAAAAAACTTTAACTTTATTGTTGAGAGTATTACAGATGTCCTGTTTTGTTTTCTATTGACCCCCACCCACCCCATACCTGCCCCTCCCAGGCCTTCACCACACTATTGTCTGTGTCCATGAGTTATGCATATATGCATATACGTTCCTCAGTTCATCTCTCCCCACCCACCACTCACCACCCACCCCCGCCTTCCTGCTGAAATTGGTCAGTCTGTTCCATGCTTCTGTGTCTCTGGATCTCTTTTGTTCATCAGTTTATTTTGTTCATTAGATTCCACATATGAGTGAGATCATGTGACACTTGTCTTTCTCTGACTGGCTTATTTCACTTAGCAAGATACTCCCCAGGTCCCTCCGTGTGGTTGCAAATGGCAAGAGATCCTTCTTTTTTACTGCTGCATAGTATTCCATGGTGTAGATGTACCACAGCTTTTTTATCCACTCATCTACTAGTGGGCACTTGGGCTGTTTCCAGATCTTAGCGATTGTAAATTGTGCTGCTATAAACATAGAGGTGCATACATTCTTTATGGTTGGTGTTTGGGTTTCTTCAGATATATTCCTAGTAGTGGGATCATGGGGTCAAATGGAAGTTCCATACTTAATTTTTTGAGGAGACTCCATACTGTCTTCCATAGTGGCTGCACCAGTCTGCATTCCCACCAGCAGTGCACGAGGGTTCCTTTTTCTCCACATCCTCGCCCGCACTTGGCGTTTATTGATTTGTTAATGGTAGCCATTCTGTCAGGTGTGAGGTGGTACCTCATTGTTGTTTTGATTTGCATCTCTGATGATTATTGACTGAGCATGTTTTCATATGTCCCTTGGCCTTCTGCGTGTCCTCTTTGGAGAAGTGTCTATTCAGGTCCTTTACCCAAGCCCCTGGCTTCTACCAGCATTATCATTACAAACTCATAAGCTAAGAAGTATAAGTCCCCTTTTTCCAAGTAACTAGAATATTTGTAAGAATATTAGACAGATGACATAAGGATGAAAAATGTGATATAAAGACTCCAGATACAAAATAATTCAGAGACTGGAGATGAGAAGGCTAGAGATGGTTTGGAAAGACTCATGGGAAGACTTGGGTATTTGTGAATCTAATGGGCCACCATGAGTGAAATGAACAGTACTTGTTTTTATAAACTTTCAGATCATGTTCTTACAATTAGGATCTGTATACAACCAGGCCGACTCTGTAAAAAGCATAAGCTGCTATAAAACCTGACTGTGGGCGCTCTAGAACCCCGTTCCTCCAGACTCCTCCAGTGTCTGCTCACACGCGACAGAGTACCAGTCCCAGACCACGCAGAGGCGCGTCCGTGAGACCCAAGGTCATGGCCTGCCCTTTCTCATCCAGCCAGTTCTCCTTGGTTACGCAGCCCCGCCCCCTCCCCCTAACTGCGCTCCATCGCGCCTCTTCCCTGCGAGGTGACCCCGTTTCTCCCTGCACCTTATTCCTTGTCACCTTTGCTATTGAAGCGCTCTACAGATGTTTTGATGAGTTGAAAACAGGTTTCCCGTTTAATATGTATATTTAATAGAATATCCCTTATCTCATATAGGTCTCAGGCATAGAGATGAGTATGGAAGTATTTTACAATAATAATATACTGTACATTCAAACCCTACACTGCTCACTATTTGACCTAAACCTTTAAGTCTTCCTGCATATTCTATTCTGCTTTTGTACAGGCTGCTTTGTCCTTCATGTGAGGGGACTCCCCTTGTGCTGCACACGCAGTCCTGGGCCAGCGGGTGCTCTCCACTCCACAGCGCCCACACCACCGCTCCACGGCACACCCACACCACCGCTCCACGGT